TTTTTTTTATAGAAAGACTTGTAAGCAAGATGAATTTTATTATTCACAGTACAGAAACAACTAATGGTGGTTAAGGAATCTCTTTGTATCAGTGATAAAGACTGATACCTTTTCAAGTATAGAAGCATTTATATCATCACTACATTGTGAACAACCATTGAGAAAGACATTTATATTATTATGCATATGATTATCATTCGGTAAAGAGTTCATCAGAACATGTCTTTGGTTATTAAAATTTTGACATTCAAAAAAGTAATGGTAGGGGGTTTCTTGATCCTGTCTGCAATCACAAGTAGGTGATCCAGACAAGTGATCATTATAAAGGTCAAAGTTCAAATTACTGGCCTTATTTCGTAGTTGGCATAAAATAATATTAATTTTTCTGCATCCTGAATATTTAAATATGAGGGTTACATCATTATGGGGTTTGTTAAGGTTTTTTAGGTGTTTTTTAAACTGAGATAGGGATTGGGAGTTAGTAATAGTAGAGTCCAGCTGATTATATTTGTTGAGAGTGGCAGGAAAGTAACTGTTAAAATAATTATCTGTTCGACAGAGAGGCGGATTAAAAATTCTATTTCCCCTTAACTCATATCTTGTACTTGTAATATCATTAATAAATGGATCTATAATATTTAATAAGTAAGATGGGGAGTCATTATGCAGAATTCTATACATAAAAAATAATTTTTGTTTATTTCCTCTTTCAGCTAATGTTTCCCATTCTAATTCTTCGTAAAGTTTCACATGAGATGTTCCTCGGCGTAATCCTGTAATTATCCTGGCTGCATCTAATTGGACTGATTCGAGAAGTGTTTTTTTCCTGTTCTGTACAATTGTCCCATACTACACTTGCATATTCTAAGATTGACCTAATATAAGAGGTATACCTTATAATAAGTGATTTTTTATCAACAGAATGTTTTAGACTTCTAAGAATGTTTATTCTTTTATATGCCTTATCATAGGTATTTTGTATGTGTTCAGCCCATTTACCATCCTCAGTGAAAGTAAGACCAAGATGAGTGTGAAATCTATTGTTAGTTAGTGGTTCATTCAAGAAAGAAATAGGTGGGTGATTTGGTTCTTTTTTCCTAGTAAAAATAACAGATTCAGTTTTTGCAGCATTAAATTTTAAGTCCCACTTTTTTGCCCATGTACTTATATTCTGAAGATCATTTGTTAGACTTTCTGCTGCTTGTATTGGATTATTATCAATAATTATGTATAAGGAAGTATCATCAGCAAATAATTTAATATTATTATTAACTTGGTCTGTTATATCATTAATGTACAGTAGGAATAAAAAAGGCCCAAGAATTGATCCCTGAGGAACTCCAGCATTAACATTAGTAAAATTTGAAAAGTGGCCCTCTGTAAACACTCTCTGTTTTCTTTCAAATAAATAGTCTTTGAACCAAGATAACAATTTTCCTTTTATTCCAATTGACTCTAGTTTGAATATAAGACCATCATGCCATACTCTATCGAAAGCTTTGCTCACATCACAAAATACAAATCGCACTTCTTTACCCCCATCTAAATTACTTACTATTATGTGATATATAGATAAAAGCTGATTTACAGTCGAGTCACCAGGTAAGAATCCAGATTGATGTTTGGATATGATTTCATTATCAGTAAGATAGTTATATAAATTTTTAAATATATTTTTTTCAATAATTTTACTAAAGCATGATGTGATTGATATTGGTCTATAGTTTGTAGTTTCATTCTGTGACCCTTTACCCTTATAAATAGCATTAACATTTGCCAATTTCCAGGATGTTGGTATTTTGCCAGTTTCTATGGTTTTCTAATGCTTCATATTTCTAGCATCTTAAACTATTTTTCTTTAAACATCGCAGAGGTTGGGCCCGACACAATTACAGGGTATTTACTGTTCAACAGTTGAGATATTGAATTTCACACAGAAATGTTACACGAGACTGAACTCCACAAACCTCATATATTTACCTCTAAACAGGGGAGAGATTGAGCTCCACACAACCAATGCACTTTTTCCTGAATATTGCCCGAGACAAATTTCCATGAAATATAACGGTACTCCACACAAAAACAGGAAGAAGAAAAACGGGATGAGAAATGCACCTGTAGTAAAACAATAAGTATTTATATTTAGATATGTATAGACACATAATAATAATGAATGACATTGTCAGCAGTTATATCAATAAATACATGACATTGTCAACAGTTATATCAATAAATACATGTCATTGTCAGCAGGTATATCAATAAATACATGACGTTGTAAACGGTAACATTATGTTCATATAATTAAATACATGACATTGTCAACAGGTATATCAATAACTGCATGACATTTTCAACAGCTATTTTAAAATGATGCATGACATTATCCACAGATATATTAATGAATACATGATATTGTCATCAGTGTATCAATAAAAACATGACATTGTCAACAGTTATATCAATTAATGAATGGCATTGTCAACAGTTATATAAATTAATGCATGACATTGTCCACAGTTATATCAATAAATACATGACATTGCCATCAGATATATCAATAACTACATGACATTGTCAACAGTTATATGAATAAATACATGACATTGTTAACAGTTATATGAATTAATGTATGACATCGTCACCAGTTATATCCATAAATGCAGGCCACTTTCAATAGGAATATTAATTAATGCAGGACATTGTCCACAGTTATATCAATCATAAGGTGGCGCTGTCGTCAGTTGTATACATTTTAACATGCAGTCAGTACATGTACCATTTTTATCGAGTAAAGCAAGATATGTTTCACCCAGAGGTGTACCTTTGTTTTAATTTCTTGGTAATATGAAATATATGTATTTGTATCGAAATTTTATGTATCTGCTCAATAAAAGGGTACTAGCCAAACAGCCTATGGTATATGAGATGTTGGTGTTATTATTGTTAGCAATGCTTATTGTAAAACATGCATGCTGCATTTCCCTCCCGAGGACCGGAGCTGATTAGCAATAACGACAAACCGGCTAGAAGGATTATGAAGTCTACATGTGACTGGCCGATGAGAAGAGGTCAAGGCTGTTAACATATAGTGCATGCGAGTGAAAACGGACTAGAAACGCATACAGAGGATCGCACGTGTATATACAATTACTGATAAGGCGAATTCACCCGTAGCTATGGAAACGAAGAGATATTTTGCATAGCTGACTGATGTTGTAACTTTGTTTTAGTGACATCGGGAAACATACAGAAATTACTTACATGTATGGTGGTTTATTATAAATCTTACATGGACCCGATATACCTCTTAATTCATTCTAACGACTAGGTTATAAACCAAATCCCTTGTTCCACTAAACTTACACCTCAATCCCTACATACTTTAATGCAGTGACTGATCCAAAACCCTTTCACAAATAAAATTAATCGGAAAATGACAGGGCCCTAATTACATTTGCCATCACACCAATAGACCGTAGAGTTCTTAAGGTTAATGTTATGGACATCTTCGATTTCTAACTCTGCATATTTAAAATAACCCTGTCAGAGGGTTCCTTCCAAGGTTAAGCCGACATAGAGGGGACTCAGTACTCATTTCGCCATTTTATGATTTTGTAACTATATAGGATTACATGCATACGATACAAAATGTGGAAAGAATTACACATCATCACGAATCATTAGATTTTCCATTGTGGGATATGTCGCCGTCCTGTAATTTTTCATTGAAGTGTAAAAGGTTGTTAGTGCACATGTGCGTAAGTAACTTAGGTAATGTTTCCTTAAAGGCCGCCTATACTTAGGTAACCTTAATGCGTTTACATGTGTCAATACACCTGGTCGAATAATAAATTTATCATCGGCGACAGATTATTGATATTGTCACTCGGCTAAATTTCATGCTGAAATTTCTAATGAGTGTGGATTATGTTTTATCCCAGGCCTTACGAAATCTAATTAAACTTAAAGTGAATTGTTGTACATATTAAAATACCCCTTTCGGATGGGTTGGTCACGGCTGGGACACACATTCGACGACCCGGTACACAGTGGTGGCTGTTTGTAGACAATAGGTTAACACAAACAAATTCAAGTTGTTGACGAAGAATGTGTTGTCGTGATACGAAAAGTGGGCCGATTAGCTTTCGATGTCCCCGTAACCAGGATGAAGAGAGAACCCATGGGGCGGCCTGCCGACACCCTACACACTACTTTCTGTTACATAGCCGTGTATAACCTATACCCATATAATAGCATAGTAGTGCTTTCGATCGTTATTAAAACTTTAAAGAACAATGAACATATTTTTTCTAAACTTCATGCACAAATTCGCACCAATATGCTCATTTTAAAAAATGCACATTTATCTGCATCTTATAGTTTTGCAGAACATCGTGCTATAACAGTACAATTGCGGTGCGTGTGACAGTGTAAGGCGCTGGGCACACCTAGAGCCAAACAGGAGCAGCTTATATTCAGGTACGGAACTTCTATGTGGAGATATCAGGAACTGAAGAGGAGCTAGTGTTAACCTTAACTTACTGCTTTATGTTGATATCGGGACAATGACTTGATATTACATTTTGTAGAGTAGTTATAAAATAATACGAATAAAATCGGATTTTTATCGCTGTTATAGGAATTGACCCAATCCTCCTGGCCCAATTGTTCACAACGTGATAAGATTAATCATTTATTAGCGAAACATTCATGTTTTTGTGTATCTTTTAACACAACCATTAAATAAGTTAAAACTTGTTAGCCATGCTAAATTACGAGTTCTTACCTAGTATATGACCTAAATTACCTTGTCTGGGACAAACAATTTACAAACACCATGCTGTGTCAAGTTGTTATACAATACGTCTGTTTGTTTCATTTTTTCCCCCGGATTGACCCTAGGCCATCTGATTATTCAACATCGCACTAAAATACCTACTTGTTTGTTCTTGGTAAACAGGCAGCACATTTTCTCGTTTGGATTTGAAGTTTAATTCTAAATGTCTATGTATTCTTTTCAGTTAGCAAATTTGATAATTCCTGTTGGATAATGTTTGTTTTTATCGTTTTAATTTGAAACACACATGCATAAGTTTACTGAACCGATAATGAAGTCTTTAATTACAGGTTGCATGCACAGATGCTCGGCCTCCTGTGAGGATTTCGTGTGATACAGACATTCGTTATCCTATTGCTGACGGAGTTTAAATTTACCCATTAAATATATAAGGAGATTTGTAATGTAAATATTTAATGACGATGAACACGTCTCTGGTAACAATATAGATTCGTTAGAATAAACTTGTGCCTGAGCTTTTTTTCCGACAATAACTTAATGAATCTTTGGAGTATCTTCTGCATGTTGTTCACGTGATTTTCATTATTAGAGTTCTGTATTCAACAGATATATGATGCACTTTTAACTTTCGAATTTAGTTGTTATCATTGATAAAATAATACATGTATATCAAACTATTCGGTTTACTACGGAAGAGCAATAAGGCTAATCTACTCGAAATTTCATTAAGATAACTCAACATTTCGACTTTATACTACAGTACTAACTTGAAATTTCGAGAAAATAATGAAACAGTATATTGCATAAATAGATATCTAAACTAAGATATGATTGGCGTTTGCAAATCTGCTAGGTTTAATCTTTGATTATGACATTTAACTGATAATGGATGATGAATAATAAAAGAGGCGAAACTACAGAAGGAAAGACAAATTCTAAGGAAATGGAAGAAATGCCAAGTCAAGATCTAATCAGAATTGACGTTACCTCTTAGATATTACAATTGCTTCAGACTAACTGAAGTTATAAAATCAAAATGAATTTTAAATATGGCGGCCTTAACAGCCGTTTTGGATTTCTGACGGACCCGCAAAATAGTCTTACTTTGTCAGTAACATGCACTGACCAGTCCTATGAAATTTCAATGAAATCCCTACAGCAGAACTTCAGTACAAGAGCATCATTGATTTTCAAAATGGTTGTCATCTAGCAACAGTCTTTTTCCGAACCATGCAGTAAATATTCGTAAATATGCATTTAGCAGAGACGAAATATAAATCAAAGATAAATTTTCAAAAATAAAATAAAAAAACTGCTTGGATATCTGAGCGAAACAGAAAAACAAATTCTTGGTCAGGACCATGTACGAAATAATTCTATAAAGTTTCATTAGATGTCTCCAGCTATATTAATATTAAAGTTCAAAATGCGAAATGTTAATGGACGACGGGCGAATTTCAAGTTAAAGTAATAAATAGTTAAGTACGTGCGAGAGAATTTGCGCCGTGATATTGATAAACACATATTCATATATATTGCGACATTTAAAACAGGGTGATGTACGTGCAAACATTTACTATGGTTTCTAGTTATCATTTTTGTAAGACATCTGCAAGGACGCATACAAAGTGCTGGTGACACATACCTCCGCCGTTCCTTATGCAAAGGTAGGGAAATCTCCACAAATTCCCAAGGCCAACGGAATAGCCAATGAGAGACAGGATGTATTCTATCTTCCTGGACCATATATCTCTCTCCCGGCCCTCATCCTTACTACTGGAATCCACACTACTCTCCTCAGTGTCCTCCTCAAACATCGCCACCTTACTTTTGTCGGCCATTCTGTTAAAAATAGATTTAATAGACACATACTATAGTTGGTCTAACAGATTCATGTTTGTCTTATATAACGTACCGCTGGTGATGAATTCTGTAGATGTATCGAAGACAGCTGTATAGATGGAGAAAATGTAATGCAAATATAAATGCAACATGTGGCTCCATTCAATGCTGAGAATTGAAAATGCAAGATGTTGCCATTCATATCCATATTGCTACGTTTAATTCCCTCTCGAATCCGATGACATGAATGAAGTATTTATTCTGGCTTGGCCATGAACAGCATACCATTGATAAACCCCGTGGTGTCCAAGCTGCGACACTTCTAACCAGATCTATTTGAAGGCTGCAACATCGTAGATCAAATGAAAGAAAATAAGATGTAATAATTTCTCTACCACGCACAACTTCACATACAACATGGCTATTACCAAACAAATGTCACATTGACCGTGTATCTAGTTTTAACACTATTGACCATTATTATTTGTTATTTAACCGGTTATCGTTCTTGGTTATATAACTAAATTACCATCGATGTTGTGACACCACGAGACCATCGTTACTAGTCACATATACCATACATGCATATATTATACATCTTACACCCAGATATCATTGCTGTAAGTTATATATATCAAACGAACACCATTACTAGTCATTCCAAATTATCGTATTATCCGTAATATTGCCAGCGCACCTCAAAATATCATTTAAGCCAATGACATATGTACATTGCCTGCTCCGGTAGACTAACCACAAAAGAATCACGCCAGGAACAACTTTTTGGTCTGTGGCGACGAACGTCCGGATCGAAACGATTCTGGTTGACACAGAGTCCACTGTACAGACAGCGTTTGACTGATAGTGCCTGTTTTTATGAAACATGCTTCCTTTCATAATTTCGATTATGTTTTGTATTAACATCGAACGCTTCATCGGATAGCCCGAGATGTCATTATGTAGTGTAAAAACGTAGGAGCAGCGGGAAACACGTCAGAACAAAGAACTAGTTATATATACTGTAAAACCAGAGGACCATCCTTACTATTCATTGTTATACATTTTCGACAAATAAGCATAGCTATTAGTTACATTTAACAGCAAGTGACCATTGCTACAAGTTATAAATAACAGATATGTGTCACTGTTACTAGTTTATCACAACATCAGGAGACCATCGATACTTGGTAAATACAGTTTGTCGGGTGGCGCATCGGATAGCGCACTCGGCTTTCACTTAGATGGCCGTTGTTCGATTCCCCGGTCGGACGTGACAAGATATATGTCTCCTGCCTGACCACATGGGTGTTTTCCCGGGTACTCTGGTTTCCTTCAAACTTCAAACACCCATGCACTTACATCCGGGGCAGCATAAGTGAATACTATTACTGTATGTAACTTGTTTCATAGTTGTTGTAAAATAAACGAAATTTACGAATATATCATATAGGTAATATATAACACAAAGTGACCAGTTTACTAGTTATATATGCACCAACAGATTATCGCTTCTCTGGTACTTGTATAATAATCTCGGTCAACAGAATATGAACTGCTCCCCACCACATATGGAAATATGGATGGTCATGCGCGCTTCCTAATGGAGCTGGACTTACGGTATATAAGCATACAGTAAGTAATGTGCATCATATGGTATATAGATATAGGAAATGTAATATATCAGAATAAAGGCAATCATTACATAAACTATACCGTTCTATGAAGCATTCAATTGTCGTTAAGTTGTTGTTATTTAACTATGCCGCCGACATAACTTGACTGCTTGTATAAGTCAGTCTCTTTATCAGTAGAGATACACATATTTTTGACCTGTGAACTTTCGCTGACGCCTACATAACACAAGTGTTGCCATATCATATTGTGAAATAAACATAATTGTTTACAGTTACAAGAACAGATGTTTGCGTTTCTCAAGTTTATAACAAGTTTAAATTAAAATTGATACAGAATATGCCTTTGATTACAGTATACCAAAACTTGACATACAGCCATTTGCGTTACACTGTAGTAGGTTTGTAATGTACTGTATGGGTACAAGTTGTATATCAGGTCAGACCAATTACAGTTAATTTCATGGCTGATAAATCTTTCTATACATGGCATATTCGAAGAGAAATCTCGGTCCGCTATATAACAGGAACCCGTGTAAATCCCCCTACCACATCTGTTTTACCAGTCACGTTTGAAATGGCATACTATAACATGGTCTGTTTTGGTGTCAGCTTGTCTTAGTCTCATTGTCTTGCATAATGGATCAGTTATCAAGATACGTTATGTCTTTCTGCATGAAAAAATAAATAAAAAATAAAATATAAATAGTTTTTCTCATAAATCTAGATTTAAATCAATAATTTATGCAATTATTTGTACAATACACATACACCTGTTTGAGAGGGATGGTGGTGCAGCACCAACGATACACATATTGTAAATACAAACCGCCACAATTATACACAGTAAAATAATGCCATATATGTTGAATGTTAAGTACCCAGTTATCACAATATACGACCAAACAACGAGACCAGACCAGACCAAGCCAAAATTTGAGACTAAAAAAAAACCAAGAGGCCCAATGGGCCTGAATCACACACATTGTATTAATCTCACACTTGTGATCTTAACAGTGGACTTAACTACAGCTACAGGCAAAATATCAGTGTTTGATCCAAAACAATCTACTAAAAGACTTAAACATATGACCCCTGTGACATTGAAAGTCAAACAAGGACATTAAGATGAACAGACTTTATAGATTTCATCCCACCATGCTTTTGGCCAAACAATACCCTGGACTGTTTGGCTATTCAGAAGTTGTTTAAAGATTTCAACATATTTGACCCTTGTGACCTTGAAAATGGGCGAAAGTCATTCATTTAAACAAATTTGGTAACCCTTCATCCAAGCATGTTACATGCCAATCATCCTAGGCCTCTTGGTTGTTCAAACGAAGTTGTTTAAAGGTGTTAAACATATTTGACCCCTGTGACCTTAAATATATATCAAGCTCATTCATTTGAACAAAATTGATAGCCCTTCATCTAAGTATGTTGCATGCAAAATATCATCACCCTAAGCCTTTTGGTTACTGAGAAGAAAATGTTTAAAATAAAAGTTGAAGCCGGATGGACGACGACGGACGCGGCACCACGGCATAAGCTCTTTTGCCCTTTGTGAAGGTGAGCTAAGGAAACCAGACAATTTGGAGGTAATCCAAAGCAGTCACATCAGACAAGTGTCTGTTCACAATATGCCAACTGAAAAGGGAATCCAACGAAAAACAATTTTAGCATTGGAGAGTTCAGGTTGCCCCATATTTATTATGTTGAAGTCGATTGATTATCTAAAACCATATAAGGGAGAATGGCATTGTGCTTTCAAGACAGGGAATCTTGTGATGATTGTTACTTGAACAGCTGTTCGTGATAATGACTCAGCTGATATAAACAGTATCCAATGCTCTGGGGCCACCTGACACCGTGAGACCAACCGATTGTCACAGAGCGAGTTAAATTAACCATGAAACGTTACCTCTATCGTCTTTTCATGTTAAACTCATATTTGATGGGACGTATTCATTTTGTCAGACAGCCAACACTAAATATATAAAGAAAGCCATTTCCACTCTTATATACATCAAGTGTTGTAACTAGACCAAACTGACCGACAACCCTGCCTAATTTACGGCTAGTTCAGATATGGTCATTAAGGTAGATTAGCTACCTTCTTTTGGTTTTGTATAATCCAGCTGCGTTTATCTCCTAGCTAACATAGATTCAGACATCCATGCGACCAACATTTAAAAAGTCTCTTTTTTTCTTTATTATTGCAAGATATCAGACACATCGCCCAGTTTTCCACCACGACCGAGCAGGGATTAAAGGGTAGTCAATCGAGATTGATCTGGATCATAGCGTAGACTTCGAGATTTTCTGTCAAGGATGTCGAAACAATCGTGGATCCTAGTTCGATAGATGTTAAATAGTAAATTATGTTGGCACGTGATCAACAGGTCGGGAGGATTAGACTCATAAACATTCAAAATATATGATAACTAAATCTAGATCCAGCCTTAATTAAGAGGAGATACAATATTGATAAATAGGTCCCAAAAGAACTCAGATGTTGTAGAGCACTAAGTTTAGTTTTGATATATATTTATCACATAATCAGCCTGTTATCCAGTGAATTCGCCCGTGTAATATTTTTACAAAATGTCTGTCTCCGTTTGATTAAGCCCTCTACATTTTGGCTTTAAAGGGACATCACGTGAAAAGGCGTTTTTTTTTTAATGAATGTATGTATTGTATGCACTTCCACTTATGTTACCTCGCTATCCCCATATTCATAGTCCGTTCCAAATGTCCAGTTTGACCACTTGAATTGTTCGGGAAAGCCCGGCTAAAAATAGCGCCGATAACGTCACCTGATTAGGCAGCAAACACAAGTGGTGCGAGCGAGATGAAACGGTTTACAAAGGGGCCCTCAGAGAGGGGCCGTCAGGCAACTGCAACTTCTTACCGCACTATGAAACCAAGTTATATGATTTCTAATTCCGTATTCAAACTTATTGAACAGTAATTATTCATCATCAGAAGTTAATTGCACACTTGCCAATATTAAGAATTTAAATTTATTTAGCTTTTAACATAAAT